AATTTTGGGTACCAACATTCTCTATAATTGTCGTTACTTATGTCGCTACAAAATATGTGTATTATGACATTTTTTGTAAATGACGCCACACACTCATCTTGTTCCGACATTTACAAAAACTCTCGCAACATACATTGCTTTAAAATATGTTTTATCGACATTTTAAATAAGTGACGGCACAACTTTTTGTCTCTCACATTCGAATGACATTTTTCAAAATTGTCGTGATAAAAATGTCGTTACTAGGGTTTTATTTACTAGTAGTCTCAACATTTTTTGCATATGACGTTGTATCCTCATCTGGTTTATTGATTAACCAACATTCTCTATAATTGTCGTTACTTATGTCGCTACAAAATATGTGTATTATGACATTTTTTGTAAATGACGCCACACACTCATCTTGTTCCGACATTTACAAAAACTCTCGCAACATACATCGCTTTAAAATATGTTTTATCGACATTTTAAATAAGTGACGGCACAACTTTTTGTCTCTCACATTCGAACGACATTTTTTAAAATTGTCGTGATAAAAATGTCGCTACAAGGGATTTTTTATGTAGTGGGTCTAGGATCAGATACATAAAGGGTTATGCAGAATTGCAAAACCATATATGGCTCTTGATTTTAAGGGGGTAAAATTTAAGGCATGTGATTAAGATATTTTATCTTTTTAATTGGTTTATATTTTCTTTGTTTTAATTTAGATTTCAATTTTCTTATGTTTAGATATGAAAATGTTGATTATGATCTACAAAATGATATTCATTTTAGCAGAAAAAAATTTCTTACTAGCCATTACTACTCATTATCATCTTGTTACCACTCTCTATATACCATTTTTTTTTACTAAGATTTTAGAAAAATTTCAGTACCAAATATACTATCATATACTACCCTGATATATAGTTGTAACTGGTGATGAAAAATTATAAATGACGGTTAATATATTTCTACTATCATGTATACAACCATTACACTATGATATATTTATACTAGGATAATACACTTTCATGCCACCATAATATAATTTTGGGTAAATACAATATATTAGCTACAACTATTATGAAGCGGGGAATTATAGCCACAACTATGAAAATTCAAATTATTAGCCATAACTATTATTGCGGGTCAAGATATGGCTAACTGTCCGTTACTGTTATTGAATTTTTAACAGAGAAGGTCACCTCATCGACCACGACAGCAGCCACGTCGGACTGCTTTTAATTTATAACTTTAAAATATACAAGTTTAGTTAGTATTACTATCGGAATTGTTAACAGATAGTTAACGTTTGATTAATAATTTGAATTTCCATAGTGTGGCTATAATTCCCCGCTTCATAATAGTTGTGGCTAATATATTGTATTTACCCGATAATTTTGTATACTATCAAGCATTATGACAATGGCATAGACTAGTAATATATATCTCAATTTTTTCTATAAAAATATATAAAAATAGATATCATTTTTAAGGATACAATTAACTGATTTCTCTTAAAATAAAGAAATATGACATAAAACAAAATAAATATAGCTCTCTAAATTAAATTTAGAAAACTTTATCTCTCTGAATGATTAATGAGATGATTGTTAATGGTTCCACAAAAATGAGTCGTTGACAAGATACCCAAAAAATTTGTACTATAATCCATTATAAAAAATAATTGTTTGACGGGATAAAAAAATAACAGTAGAAAGGAAATGTAGGAGAATATATGCTAGTTTCGTGCTTAGTATAGTATACTCCAGATGATTTGGCTGTTAGATTTCATTTTTGAGCTTCGGTCAATCTTAACAATCAATAAGCATTTTTTATTAAATTGAACTTCTTGTTTAAGCTTTAGAGAATCAGAGGTTGGGGTTTATCCATTAGAAGTTAGAGTATAGTATCATGCCCAAAACTTAATTTAATTCAAAGTCTAGATAGAGATATCTCGCTAAGAGTACCTGAAGTATAATATACTCCAAGAGTACACCAGTCCGACCCTTTTATTTTATAGTTAAGTGCGTTAAAAAGAGTAAATAATTTTTTAATTGAAACATTTATTAAAATTAATATTCTATGAGTATATTAATTTTAATATAGCAGTGTAGCGTCAAATACAGTAGAATTAGGAGAAAGTACAACAAACTTATGTAAATGGATAGAGGACATGCAATTGGAGTATCATAGGGTGGATGGTGCTTGGTTTACCTGGACCAACAAGCAAGTGGAGAAACTTATAGTCAAAAGACTGGATAACACCCTGATAAACACTGATTGGTTAACAACTTATAAACATGGAGCTGTAAAGATTCCTCCCTCAGGATTGTCGGACCATTGTGGCTTTCTGATCTTCAAGTATTTTAGTTACTGGAAGCACCACCCTGAGTATGACAAGATGGTTCAGGAAGGATGGAGCCAGGACAGGGGTGGGCATACGGTTCGGTAAAACCGAACCTAACCGAACCGAACCGAATATAAACCGAACCGAAACCGAATTAATGTTATTCGGTTCGGAATTCGGAAGAGAAAAGGGCATATTTCGGAAATCAGGGTCCTTTCGACCGAACCGAATTTCCGAATTCCGAACCGAAAAACCGAATTATTATAATTGCAAGCTTTAAATGGTGGATTTTTATATTTCTACTTATTATGAGACTTAAATATTTGAATCATGTTAGTGTTTTATGACTTATGTGTTGAAATGTTTGATTTTATCATTGATGATACATATTTATTGTTCACATTATGGGTGAAAAATAATTTAAAAAAGAGAAGATACAAGCTAACCTCACTATTTCGGTTTTGTATGAAAAACCGAACCGAACCGAATTATAATTCGGTTTGAACCGACCGAACCGAATTATAATTCGGTTCGAATTCGGTTTGAGGTTTGATAGAATTCGGAGACCCGGTATGCATAATTTCGGTTCGGTTTGAACCGAACCGACCGAATGCCCACCCCTAAGCCAGGAGGTGCAGGGTTCCACACTTTTTCGGTTATACCATCGACTGAGGAAAGTTAAAAGGGTAATGTCTATTTTTTATCCAAATCTTTTTCAGATTCTTTTATATTATCCAAACCTATCGAAATAATAAGAATTAACCAAATGTTAACTTCCAGTTAGCCATTTTGTTACTGATATTGACTTAGCAACATGATATTGACTTGGATGAGACTCAAGAAGGTTAACATTCCAAAATTTTAGTATTTTAACTAAGAAAAGAGTTACAAAATTATTAACGATAACATAAAAAAGGCTAATATTTTGATACATTATGAAAGATTTGGATAACTAATAGAATTTTAATACGTTTGGATAATATAAAAGAATCTGAAAAAGATTTGGATAAAAAATAGACATTGCCCAAGTTAAAATGAGGGTATATGTCCTCTATTTATAGACTTCAGGAGGCCGGACAAGTTCACGGCCGAGTAGGGGAGCTTGCGGTCGTGATCTTTCCCTACAATTCCGCGATTTTCAGGCGTCGTTGTTTTGGTCTTCATCTTCACGGAGTTCGCGGGCTAACTTTACGGTCGAGATCCGTGAGTCGCGGCCGTGAACTTCCTTGCGGCCAGGGTAAACAGTGACCGTGATTCGACCGTCGAAACTTTCTGTCTTCTCTTGGGTGGCTTCTTCACTAAGTTCACGTCCAAGGGATCTATTTTTGCGGCCGCAAACTATGGGCCTTAGGCCGCGATTTTCTCTCCTGCTTCGCGGTCTGCTGTCTCGTCGAGATCTTTCCTGTCCAGGCTTTGTGATCATCAGCTTCTTGCCCATTTGACTACACTTGTGCCCTTTTCGTACCTAATTCACATACATCGTCTAAAGCACCCTAAAATCATGACATAGACATAGAGTATTGAAATAGGGATGCAATCGATGATATTCTTCCAATAATGCACATGAAGTAGCATGAAACGACCCTAAATATAAAGTGTAAATAGCACCAGTTTAGGTGTTATCAATATACCACTTTTTCTGCACATCATCAATAGAAGACATGTGCCTGTATATTTGTGATTTTTAAACTTCAATATGTTGTGGAAGAATGCAATATTGGAGCTTGCCTCAGCTGTCCATTGTAATCTTGATATTTCTTTTAAGAAAGCTTCCTCGGCAGCCTGGGTAGATCAGCACAGTTTGGAGATTTCCAGCTCTCTTTTAATGTTGCCTTCTGAAGGAGCCTTTAAACTTCATTATATAGTTCTTCAAGTGGCTTCTTCAAATCAGGAGCATGAACTAAAATTTGATAATAATGGACACGATTTAGAACTCTGAGCTCCTTCTTAAACTCACTTAGTTTGACATATCGTATCTGCAACTTACTATTAACATACCTATGTTTCTCAGAGGTGACAACCCTTTAAGTGCTCTAATAACAAAGTCTACTCCATTCTTAACACAAAAAATTGAAGCTTCAGAGTTAGTAACAGTAGCACTGACTGCCTTAGATCTAATTCATTTTAACTCAGAAATTCAAAATAAGCTTGCATAAAAATAATGTATTAATTATGATATACACAATGATATTCGTTTTGATATATTTGAGCTAAAAATAACCACTCAAAGTAAATGTTTGCTGTAATTTTATCACTGTCATATTACACTAGTATCATGATATGACAGGGGTATGATGTCACATTTCATTCGTGTTAACTCGAATTTAAAAATTTAATGATATGCATATACAATTCTGGAGTATACAATACTTTGGGTACGTATGCAGGGTCTTGTGATACTATACCCTAATCTATGATGGATAAACTCTAGACCCCAATTCTCTAAACTCTAAGCCAAACCCGAAGATAAACTCAACCGAAAGTAACGATCGACGATTTTCATTCATCAGAATACTTGGAATATGGTATACTCCAAAAAGTAGGCTAGTCGTTACCATGTTGCAATGATGAAAAAGTATTTGACTACATCCTTCTTTCGGATCACTTAACAAACTAGACTAGTCGAAGAGAGAACGTTAATGAGGCGAGCGCATGCAGCATATGCGAACGTACGTATTCAAGAGTGCCAAAAAGCATAACCTCACTTCTTCACCACAAACTGTATATAAAGGGGCAGCTAGCCCACTGCAAATTTGCACTCTTTCACAACACCATAGCTATACCCATCATACCATTGCCTTTCCGAAACCTAGCTAACCAAAAGAAATCCCCTTCCCTTATTCCCCCCTCCGATCCATCCGCCATGGCTTTCGTATTCCGCAGAGGCCTGGTAGTACTAGTAGTAGCCCTAATCAATGCCGCTCTCGTCGTAGCCACGAGCTTGGCAACTGCTGCAGAAATTAGCAGTAGCAACCCATTGCTGCTCCGAGGAGAGGAAGGTGTCCGCGATTGCAGTCAGTATCCTTACGTTGCACCAACTACCCTTCCCACCGACCGTTTCTCTTTCCCTCCGGACTTCGTCTTTGGGACAGCCACTGCAGCTTACCAGGTTGAAGGTGCAGCCAACACCAGCGGCAGGGGACCAAGCCTTTGGGACAGATTCACCCACGATTTCCCAGGTATTTTATATACAAAATAATTGTTCTATCATTATAATTCGCGAGTTGTTGACAGATGTTTAATAATGAATCTTATGTAAAATAACTGTGTTTCAGTCCCTCCTCAAATACTGTATTGATCGATCTATATATATGTGTGCTGCAGAGAGGATTGCCGATGGGAGCAGTGGAGACGTCGCCATTGATCACTACCACAGATTCGAGGAGGACATAATTAGGATGAAAAATATGAACATGGACGCCTACAGGTTCTCCATCTCGTGGTCCAGGATTATACCATGTAAGTTGATCATCTTCTTTTAACTATACAAGAATATTGTTAATTAAATGAATTTTGATCACATTCTGGCTGTACTACACATACCATACAAAAATCAGACGGCAAGAGGAGTACTGGAGTAAACAAAGAAGGAATCGAGTTCTACCACAGAATCCTCGACCTGCTCGACGAACAAGGTTTAATTTTTTTTTCCAACTCTGCTGTCAGCAGCCTTTTCACTCACTCAAACGGATCTTTCATTACCAAGGAATTGAATTGGCCTAATTAATAGCATTGTTTGCAATTTGCAGACATGGATGCCTATGTTACAATCTTCCACTGGACTACCCCACAGGCCTTGGAAGCCGAGTATGGCGGCTTCTTAAGCCGTGACATTGTGTGAGTATATTACACACACACACACCTGCAGCTTGTTCTTTACACACGTGTGACACGACCGATGATTCGTATGGTTGATATAACTGCTGATGTTTTTTTTTGCAGGTCCGACTTCAAAGATTTTGCTGATCTGCTGTTCGAAGAATACGGCAGCAAAGTGAGCAAGTGGATCACTCTGAACGAGCCCTGGACTTACACCATAAAAGGTTACGAAGAAGGAATGTTTGCACCCGGCCGTTGCTCCGTCTGGGTCGACAGAGCGTGCCGCGCTGGCAACTCAGCTGTGGAGCCTTACATTGTCACCCACAACCTTCTTCTTGCTCATGCTGCCGCCGTCCAACTTTACCGCCAGAAATATCAGGTTCCTGATTGCCTTCACGCTTCCCGTTTTCATGAATACCAAAAGTTCATCACTCATAATAGTTTCGTTTCGTACCGATTGACAGAGGGAGCAGAAGGGAGAAATAGGCATGACTCTGTGCACGTTTTGGTTTGAGCCTTACTCTGACAAAATTGAAGACATTGATGCAGCCCAAAGAAGCATGGACTTCATGTATGGCTGGTGAGTATATATATATATGACTGATCAGTCTTTGGTTTTTTTTCTTTCTTTCTTGAGCGTGGGCTTCATGCATGAGAACTACGGCTTGCCTCGATCTAGGTATATGGATCCCATTACATACGGCAATTACCCAAGATCCATGATCGATTTGGTTGGATCCCGTCTGCCCAATTTCACAACCGAAGAATCCAAGTTACTCAAAGGCTCCTATGATTTTCTCGGCCTCAATTATTACACCGGTTATTACTCGAGAAACAATCCTGATGTTGATCCACACCATCCACGGTACCGAACCGATTCCGGAGCTATAATGGATGGTACGTTAACTCGGAATTACGTTAAACTATACACTAACATCCTACATATTTCATTTTTGTGAATAAAAGAATTATGTACCGATCGATCTGACGATAATATTTTTCTTCTGTTTGTTTTGCATCGTTATTAGCTTGGAGAAATGGAGAGCCTATTGGGGAACCGGTATAACCCTCTATTAAGCTTTCTTACAACAACAAAGAATACTTGACCAGCTTGTTGATACTGATTATGTTGCCTAATAATAATTACCGATATTTTTATAGGCTTCGCGATGGCTGTACATATATCCCGAGGGGTTCCGATACCTATTGAACTATACGAAGGACACATATCGGAACCCAACTATTTATATTACCGAGAACGGTAACTGTATAATTAATTAGTTTGTTATAAGGGTTATTTTTTTTTTCAATAATAAATTATTAATTAACAATAATGATATAATTATTAGGAGTATCCGATGAAGATGATCCTTCGAAACCAATCCAAGAGGCCATAAAGGACCAGCGCAGGATCGACTATTACCATTCTCATCTTCAGAATGTCCTCATGTCCATCAGGTCAGCAGTTGCTTCTCCAATACGTTACCACTTTTTATTTTTTTTTTTTATTTTTCCTTTTCCTTTTGATTTATTTATATATATATACTTAGATTCTATTTTTTTCCTTTTCTTTTCTTCTTTCACCAAATGGACGCAGGAACTACAACGTGACGGTGAAAGGGTTTTTTGCGTGGTCCTACGCGGACAACTATGAGTGGAGTGATGGATACACTTACAGGTTTGGGCTGTATTACATCGACTACAAAGAGAAACTGCTGAGGTACCCAAAGGATTCTGCTTGCTGGTTCACTGCCTTCCTCGAGAAGCCCAGCCCGAAGGTTCAGCACCGGGCCCGGCCCATCCGCGCTGCTCTCCCCCGTTCGCTCCATCTTGGATACTGAGCCTCAACGCCTGTGGGCTATGAAGCTTGATTTTCAATCCTTTTTTTGTTTGGTGTTTATTGGGTTTTGAGAAATTAAAAGCCTATTCTGTGATCGAGCTGGGCTTTGTGTGTGTTTAATTTTTTGGGCCTTGATCATGAAGGACTCTATCTTGGTGCTTTCTACTTCACTGTACTGTCTGTACACTGTTGTTATGTGTATCTGAACTACTTGTACTGTGTGTTGTGTGTGAGGTTTGAATAAAATTTGTACTGTGTGTTGTGTGAGGTTTGAATAAAAATGGGTTTGCTTACTAATCTCCTTCTCAAACCATTAATTGCAAAATATATACCGATCTCGTAATTTCGAATAGATCATTATTAACTGGTTTGGAGTGAGTAACTATTCAGTCTTCCCAACACTGTTTTAGGCGACACAGTTGAATTCTCCTTTTTGCAAAAAAAAAAATCAAAAAATCAAAAAATCAAAAATCAAAAAATCAAAACCTAAATGGGTCGAGACGATCTTCTATCAAAGGTACCCACAAAATAATTCGTTATAAAACTAATCAAATAAAATTTGATCGATACAGTATTTTGGTATCCTAAATACCAGTATGATACTTTCAACCGTACACTTCCAAGTTGTTAATGTTAATCAAATACCAATATGATACTTTCAACCGTACACTTCAAAATAATTATAACTCGTAGGAAAACATTCTAGATTTCTTATAATTTTTGTTATGGATATGTTCCTTATGTATATCTAGTTATGAATTTTGTTATTTTTGGTTAGGCCCTCCCAAAAAAAAAAATCCTAACAAACACAGCTAGCTGCACTATACCTGCAGAAGAACCCATTTGCCTTTGCAATAATGGAGCTATAAAGATACACTTCTTTCATTTGGTCTTCCCTTCCGGTCCCCCTCTTTGCTTTTCATTTTGCGTTGGGAGCCAAAAAGAAGAAAAAAAAGATAGACAGTAGTGAATATATTTTGGGTTGGGGGATCAAAAGGGATAAACTTTCAGCAAGCAAGCAAGCAAAGAATGAATATGCATGGATGTAAAGATTGAATGGTTTGGATCTTCCCTACCCAATATTCTACCTTCCGACATTGCTTTTCTTCTTTTTGCTTTTTCCCTCTCCTCCTTAAGTTTTTTTGTTTTTTTAAGCATATAGCTTTTTAGCCCCAATTATCAAGCACTCAATGCCACCTTTTTCCCCTCCTGCAAAGTTTCCCCATTAACTAAAAACTCTTATAATGTTCCTTTTGATGCAAGGTATATACTAACACCCTGCACTTAATCAACTTATTATTTGGTAATTATTACTAGCTTTTTGCTTTGGAGTTCCAATAAAAAAAAACATTCATATTCAAACAATTAAAAAAAAAACCCACAAAGGAAAGGGAGAAAAAAAAAAGGAATATTAGATCCATCCATTGATTGATGATGGGTGGCACAAGGCTTGATGAACAGCTGCTCCAACCCCAAGAAAATCCCTGGTTTGCCCTCCTCCTCCACCTCCACCTCCACCACAGTCTTCACTGCCCTGGAATGTCTTCTGCCTTTTCCATGCTGGGTACATAGCTGCTTGCAGCTCCTGCTGATGCTGCTGATGTTGAAGCTGAACATGACTCAGGTTCAGTATATCATTATTAGCAGCACCAACTCTTGCAGCTGATGAGTTGAAGTTCTCCAACAGACTTCCAAACGGGCTGACCATACTACTTTGATGATGACTCGAATCAGTGGTACCATACAACCCACAAAATCTGTTGCCATGATAGTGATCAGCTTGAACCATCGCTTGGCTACTGTTGACATGACTGTTGTTGTTGTTGTTGTTGTTGCTGCTGCTGCTGTTGGGCTTGGTGATTCCTAGGCTTCCAAGGAAAGACGGGTCAGCAGTGGTCGAAGTTGCCCCCATTTGAGCAGCTTTCTGCAGCAAAGCAGTGGCTGACATGTTTGCTGATGATGACAATGGTGACGACGACGACGATAAGGAAACACCTCCTCCCTGCTGCTGCTTTTGCGTGCTGTACAATGAAGGAACACTCACATTGGTTGTGCTTGTTATGCAACCACTACTGTTGCTCTTGCTGTTGTTGTTGTTGTTGCTGCCGTTGTTTAATCCTACAATCGGCCAACTCAAATCGTAGTGATGATGATGTTCGGATTGAGGAGGGAGAGGAATGTGATCCCCAAACATGGGGCCTGAAGTTATGGACCCCATTCGGCGAATCTCTTGGTGTATGATACTGCTGCTATTGCTGCCTATGGATGGCTCGTGGAGCGCTGCTTGACTCGTCCACAGGGCCATCATCCCCCTTGGTTCTTGATTCAGCAGAATCTCTGCCTGGTGGTGTTGGTGGTGGTGCTGGTGATCCTTGATGGAGATTGGCTTGAACAAAGACGAGAAATGTGGAGCCATGTGGTGGGCCAGTGGAGCCGCACCCATTAGATTATTGTAGCTCAGGTTGCTCAAGCTCGAGATTGTGGATGCTGCATTCATCCTCGCTGTTTCTTCAGCCAACGCGTCGCAGAATGCTCGATGGGTTATGAAGCTGTCACGCCTGCATCACATATATAGATATAATCTCCTTCACCATTAGAAATCAGCGAAAACCGGAAAATTAATTATCAAAATTTTTGTTCAAATTAAATACATCACAACCACAAAAGATCACCATCCACCTTCCCCTCCTATCCTCGAAGATTTTTCGGTATGAAAGTAATGAAAGTAGGGTTGATAAATTTACCTAGAGAACAAAGTCCCGCAGTCGCATTTATACTCCCTAGTGCCACAGGTCTTGGAGTGAGCCTTCCAGTCCGACTGAACCGCGTACCTCTTGGCGCACTTGTCGCACTTCCACTTCTTCTCGCCGTGCTTCCTGCAGAAGTGCTTCTTGATCCCCGTGAGGTCCCCGAGTGCTCGAGACGGGTGGTGATGGACGCACGATTTCTCGGGGCAGACGTAGACGCGCTTCCTGATCTCCTTGCTTGTCCGCTGCTTCAGCTTCCACGGCAGGTTGTGGCCTCTCCTGTGGAGCTGCAGGTTCTGGTCTCGCTGGAACCCTTTGCCGCAGATTTCGCAGAGGAATCTGTTGGTTGCCATCAGTGTCTTTGGCGATAAGGCTATCACTTCTGCTTCTGGATCTGGACAACACAAGAAGACAACAATAACAACGATTAGCATGTACCAACTTTTTTTTTTTTGTCAAAAGTTTTGGACCCTACTTTGAATATACCAAACATGATCTTGATAAGTGTTTTGCTTGCCTGGAGTTCCTGGGAGGTTTCTCTTCTTCTTATTGAGAGGAGGAGGAGGAGGATTGGATCCAGCAGCAAAAGGGTTGTGATCGTGAGAGAAGCTGTTGGTGGAGAGGATTGCTGCTGATGTTGCTTCTTCAGTGGTTGCCATCTTCTCAGCCAGCATGGTCATGATCTTCTTATACAACTTTTTGTTTATTTTTGGGGAAGCCTAATTAGCTATAAATAGGGTGTTTGATCTTCCACCTTTTTTTCCCCTAAGCTAGGTGTTGTATGTAGCTGTAATGATGAAGTTAGGACAAACCCAGATGAGAAGGGCAAAGAAGTGGGTTATGGTTATGGAGAAGAGTTTGTTTGTGGTATTAATGATGATGATGGAATTGTTGTTCCTCTTTTTGGGTTAATGGCTGGCTTGAGAGCACACAACCCTAACAACATGGGGCAGATATACGCTGAGATTTATTCCCTCCATCCAAGCTCTCTCTCTTCTGTGCCTTGTGTCTGTGTCCCTCCTTTTTCTCATTTTAATAAATCTCTGCTTTTTCAGATTAGTGGAATAGAATAATAAATCAATGTTTTCTCTATTTTATTTTTTTGGTGGGGGTATTTCTTGGGAATCAGGGCGGTGAAAAGTGAAAGTTGGGAGCTTGGAAGTGGAAGTGGAGTAGTGCATTCAAATTGTTTTTCCTTTGCTTTTTGGGGAGATTTTGAGGGGTTGAATTGACATTTTGGTATGGTGCTAAGTGCATAATCGTTAAATTTACGAAAATGTACTCATACAAATGTATATTACTGGATACAGTCCGGTCTTAATTCGGTTCGGTTTTGACCCGGTCCGGTCCCAATTTTATCTTGATTTTAGGTGTTGGGGGTCTCTTATCCGGTTTTTCACCTCAAATCTAAGCCCGAATATGAGATTGCATTGTTTGCTATCCAGTCTCAGTCCGGTCCCGATCCGGTTTATACAGTCCGGTTTCGGGTAAAACCAAACAGTCCGGTACCAAATAGCCAGCCCTACTACGAGCACATAGCCGAGTTGTTGGTTGAATTGAATCTCTAGAGTCCAACTAGTCATAGTATTCTTCCACCTCCCACTCCCTCATACCTCCTTTCATTCTTCGATACAAAGGTGCATGATGACACATATGATGAGGTTGAGAGAAAAGCTATCTAGCTACCTAGTCCCCTCCTCCCATTGCCTTTTGCCATTTGGAATGATTATCCCATAATTAATTTTGTTCCTCTTTTGTTTCTTTCTCCCCCTCAATTCTCCCGATGGTAGTTCTGGCCCACTTCCCATTTTCATTATCCAGTTACAAGTCAATTAAGATGCACTTTATATATGGTATATGCATGGTATTATACATGCACTTACTGCAAACTTTTTTTTTTTATAGACACTTACTGCAAACTTTGAAACTGACAAAAGTTGATCAAGCTTTAAAATTGCCTTGTATCGATCTCTGTATTTCTTGACACATGCATTATACTTTTGAATGACATTTTGATGGATGGAGTTCGAAAAGAGAGTCATGATAGTCCACCGGTGGTCTCTTCTCTTTTCAAAGAGATTAATATGGTGCTGCTTAGCCATACTTGATGGTGTAACCCACATGTACAAATTATAGCCGGATATTTATATAGAAATATAAGCTAATTTAGATAAAGGCATCTACCTTATATGAAATGAGATTAGGTGATAACTCTTCAAGGATGAGCATCACACTAATTATTATAATAATCATTAGATTGAAATAGTAATCCTACTATCAGAATTAATAGGAGGATAGCCTAGTCACCAACAGTGGCGTAGCCAGGATTCCGTTTAAGGTAGGTGCACCTTGAAAAAAAAAATGATGAAATAGTTTTTTGATATAATCTTACGTTGAAAACTTTTGATAAATTAAAATGCATTAGCAGTCGAAAATATCAAGAATATCACTCTGCATATATACCAAACAATCATTGATTTAGGGGTCGTTTGGAAGTTGTGATTGTTAGAGTTGTGTTTGTTGAATACATGTATTGTGCATAATACAATGTTTGGAAGTGTCAAAATGTTAAACAATGCATGCATTGTTTTAGGTAGGTCCCACCAACAATCACAAAAAATGATGCATTATACAATTTCAACTAAAAGTTGTGATTGTTGGTTTTATATTTGTGTCAATTTTTTCTTTCCATTTATATCCCCAATAGATTTTGTCTTATTCTAAAAGTTGAGGGTAATTGTGACATTTCTCTATAAAAGTAACTTTATGTAAATCAATGCATAAAATAGAATCTCAACAACCAAACAATGTATTGTTAAAATGCATCCATTGTATCAATATATGCATTTAGATTATGGTGATTCATTACAATGCAACGATTTAACATTCGCAACTTCCAAACGACCCCTTAGTTAGTCGTAGTGTTTCAAATGGTGTTCTTTGTTAAGAACCGTTAGTATCAATACCTCGAGTTGTTGATAGAGGTTTAATAATAAATCTTATACCAACCAATAACTCATGATATACCTAGTAGTTCGCTTTCGAATGATGTTCTTAAAAAAATATTTAGTATCAATAAATCGAGTTGTTGAAAGATTTCAATTATGTATTATACCATTTACTATCATGCTCCCTTATAAGAAAGTCAACTTATCCGAAATTGATGTTTGCACAAATATGTATACTGTATGCTGAAGAAATGAGGTCGCCGAGATTCCAACACAAAAATTTTCGACCAACTATTCTCAATTAAACGCGATATGTTTTCGATATCAATTAACTATCCTACCTAATTTAAACATTTTCTTCAGAACCAGGGTGGGTCACGGGACCCACCCTGTTACCCTCTCCCTCCGCCACTGGTTTGGTTTTCTTTTCTCAAAATTTCATTTAAAATAAATTTGAATAGTAAAAATTTTCAATATACTAACACAATAGAGAAAAGCGTCAGTTGGAGAGTATGTATTGCAGGATCAGTCAAACATTGTGGTGGCACCTTCCGCGATTCTGTATGTGGTGATCTGATACGCTTTTTGTGGAGCTCCTGGCCCTTATGGATGTCTAGCTAGAAGGATACGGTCAATAGTTTTTGTAGGTGACGCCTCAGTGATTTCGATGATGGTTCGAGAGGGGCAACTAGCAAGTGCTCGTGCAGGTAAGGTGTGAGGAGATTCATACATTGAGTCCCTCATTTCAGTGTGTTAAGGATATGTTCGTTGGTTGTATGTGTAACATGTTTGCCCATTTGGTGAAAAGAAAATTCATTTAGTTGTTCCCTTCGTTAGTGAGATTCAATTTCATTTCTTTTCTATTTTCAGCTATATAACACTTTGTATCTGACTGCTTTTCTCAATAATACTAGTGATCTATTGAAAAAAAAATATAGAAAAGCTTTGAAATATAACTAACACATATGATAATCTTTTAAGTATACTAGCACAACACCACTAATGAGGTGACTAACTGAATCAATAAAATAACAGTTGGTATTTTTGTAATTTGAAAATAAATAAATAAATAAATAAATAAACATACATGGTGATGGAGGTAACAAATCAGAAAAACAATTGATACTTTCTGTCCACTACTTATCAGCAAAGAAAAGAAATGACCGCTTCTCCATTAAATCAACATCTCAATTTTCTCTATAGAGTATGACTATGATGACTTGTGTTAAATTGTAAGTAACGTTTTTTGAATTTGGTGAAGGTTTTCGGTCGACCAGAAGGCTAGTCAAGTCGACCATATATACAAGATTTGTTATGTCGATCACATGACCAATTAGGTTGACCATATAGCCCATGCTTACGAATATAAGATTGGTTAGGTTGATCACATTTTCAATCCTCTCAGCACAATATTGATTAGGTTGATCACTTTTTTTGTTGTTGTAAATTTTCCATGTTTAGATCGTATAGTTGAATCAAGTATTGTAATAGATAACTCAAGTTGAGACATTGAAGAATAAAAAAGAAGCATTTACACAATAATGATAATAGAGAAGGAATCATGAATATAAAATCGAGCCCCAAATTTTGTTATCAAAATTTATATAATAACATTAAAAAAGTCATCCATTGATAGCAAGCCTAAATCTTATCCTAAAGGAGATGCATCAAACCACAAGAATTATGTTAGCGTGACACTACATTCTATTATTCTAAGAGATAAATAACCCTCATATATGATGAAATTTATAGAATATAAAAAAATTAGAATAAAAAATATCCCAATGGATTTGATAATTAAATCATATGTTAATATGCTCTAGATTTTCTGACGCGCTGTTTGTAACATAGTCTTAAAATAAATTTGGGTAAGTTTTAGGGTTCAACTTTTGCTTCTAGCTAGGTTTTAGAGGGTTAAAGTTTGGGTTTTGAGTATAGGATTCAAGGTTTACAAGTTAAGGCTTTACACTTTAGGGTTAAGATATTAGAGGTTTAGGTTTTTAGTTCTTAGCACTTCAATGGTTATGATTGAGGTTTGACGCGATTTTAGGATTTAGGCAGTTTTGTGTTTTTGGTTTTTGAAGGGTTTATGATTTTGGTTGTTAAGATTCAAAGTTTGGGATTTAGAATCTAGGAGTTTAGTGGTCTAGCATTTATGAAAATAGGACTATACGGTTTAGGAGTCATAATTGAATGTTGTTGTTTGATTAAAAGTCCATTAAAGTCATGAATGAGTAACCTTTTTCTACATTTTGAATTTTTAGTAACTCAAAATATATTCGTGCTTATTGAATATCATCATTTTTATGTTCATTCTTTCCGTTTCCATAATCTTAAATATCTCTCCACAAACTATCTATCGTGAGACTTGCACATCTCTACAAACTAACCACCCATATTTTCACAGAAACAAAAGTGATCAATGTGATCGATCATATGATTAGCCTAATGGACTGTGTGATCGACTTGATCATTTTTAATTTGCGTGATCGACTTAACCAACCTTGTAGTCTAACATGAACCTCCATCAAACTCCAAATAAGATTTATTTAGAGTGTACCACAAATCATGTAGTAAGCACCTAACAATTATCGTATTCATCAAATGTTATAGCAGTTTATATGTACTGAATTGGGAGTATGCTAGTAGTGCAACTTTTTTGTTTTTTCATGAACACAATTTTTATAGGTTAAATTTCACAGATTAGGTTCATTGTGACAGAGCGATCTCCA